TTATCGTGTTTTTAATATTCTGTTGGGAGGCGCTCAGAGTGGCTGGGGAAACCCAGCCAAATGGGCGGGGTATAAATAATAAATTATTGTTATTATTATTATTACATGCCATTTGTGTGAAGAGAGTAAATGAGCAGAAAGGAACAGCAGAGCAGCACAGCTTCCTTGACTTCTCTTGTGATATCCACCCTGGGGTCACCCACACTTCCTCTTCTCCTACTGCTTTCCTTTTGGTGTCATGTTTTAAAGATTTTTTTATCATTGTTGTTTTACTGTTTGTTGTTTACTGCCCTGAACTCCTTTGGGAAGAAGGGCGGGATATAAATTTAATAAATGGATAAATTAAAAAATGAATAAGTAAGAAAAATTCCTTTTGTCCCCTAAAACTCTAGCTTATCCAGTCTTGAACTGAAAATGTTCTTCTGCCCAGGTAGATCAAATTGCATTTACTAGCATTTAGCAGTCATCTTCTTCACATACATACATACATACATACATACAACCTACTTTAAAAACAGCAATAAACAAAAATAGGAAGGCCATCATAAGGCCAGAATCAACTCGTAGTAATAATAACGATGATGATGATTTTTAAAAGCCAGTTAAATAAGTCGTTGTGCTTGAATGCTTGTGAGGAATGAGTACAGGAAGATGAGGATTATCTGAATTAAGTTCTTTAATTCTGAAGCCGCTTCATAAAAAAAGAGTTATTATTCAATGAATGAGAATTCACTTGAATATAAAAATTAACAACCCACTCACCACTGCCTCCTGTGTTTATGAATTCCACATCACTTGATATGCTTAAACTACTCTTAAAATGTTTAATATTCTATATGTGATGGAATTTCCTCTTGAAGGTAAAAGTAAAGGTACCCCTGCCCGTACGGGCCAGTCTTGACAGACTCTAGGGTTGTGCGCCCATCTCACTCAAGAGGCCGGGGGCCAGCGCTGTCCGGAGACACTTCCGGGTCACGTGGCCAGCATGACATCGCTGCTCTGGCAAGCCAGAGCCACACACGGAAACGCCGTTTACCTTCCCGCTATAAAGCGGTCCCTATTTATCTACTTGCACCCGGGGGTGCTTTCGAACTGCTAGGTTGGCAGGCGCTGGGACCGAACAGCGGGAGCGCACCCCGCCGCGGGGATTCGAACTGCCGACCTTTCGATCGGCAACCCCTAGGCGCTGAGGCTTTTACCCACAGCGCCACCCTCTTGAAACTGCATATCAAAATACATGGTATTTAATTTGCTTTTTACCCAGTTATCTTGCGGTGGTAGTGGTGTTCCTTTGTGTTTGGCTATAAATTACAGATAGATAATGTTGCACACAATCCCAATCTCTGTGTGGTGTGAGATTCCTGGGGTTCCATGCGCTTGGCAGGGGTTCAGTTTCCTTGGAATGAGGGAGAATGGAGACTGTATTGTCTTTAGGATATATGGTTTATTTACACATATATACAACCTGAGCCTAAGATGGAGGGGATAACAGCACTCACACCCCATAAAGTCTTGCTTCTCCCGTAGTCCCAGCCTTTGAAGCAAACAGGAATCAAGCATGATTCTTCCTCTCTGGCCGCTGGCTGCCTCTCGCCCTGGTCTCTCACACAACTCTCTGGTTATTGTCCTTCTCACTACAACACTATTATACAGCAGCAGATATAGCAACTCAAGAAGTGGTTTTTGTAGTGGAATGTTCATGTCAGTAAATAATATTCTGTACCTGTGGTAGATTATTCTAAGGATCAACCGTATGACCGGGTTTGGATGTTCTTTCCTGGCTTCATTAACCATGGTTTATGAATCCAGGAACAAGCATAGGGTTTGCCAGCTCCTCCGTCACCCCTCCCCACACTTCTCATACACAATTCAATTTCAATTTCCTTTTACACTTGAATTACACCAGAATTACACATCATGCCCAAACCAAACATAATAATTCAGACTTATTATTGTGATTAGTTGAGCAAAGATGAAAACAGGGTGAGGTCTTCAACTTTTTTTTACTCAGTTTACCCATTGGAATTAATTAATATGACTATGTTAGGGTTATTTGTTTCAGTAGGTCTGCTTTGAGTAAAACTTATTTGAAGACCACGCAGAGTACCCTGGTTCAGGCCTAACAGTGACTCAGATTTATGTGCAAGTGAGGAATGCAGTTTCAAAGCCAGCATTTGAGTGAAGGAGGAGAGGGGTGACAGACGAGTACTGAAGCCTGACAGTTATATCTGGCTTCATAAACTATGCCTTGTGAAGCTGGGAAATACCATCCAAGCCTCTATTTCTATATTCTGTATGTTGCATAATGACCTGGTTTGCATGTCATGCTAAGCCAAACCATGGGTTAATGTGAACGCATGGACTCTGGGAGAAGAGGTCACGGCTGTTCTTCCCTCTCCTCTTGTTCTGGCTGCTGTGCAATAGTTCGACTTAGCTGCAATAGTTCGACTTAGCTGCATGCTGTCCAAATCCAGGCTTGTGGTTTAGCTCTCTCCATACTAATCATGAGCTCATGGTTTGTCCAGGGGAGCTAAACCAGAAGCCTAGGTTCAGACACCATGCTAAAGTAAACCATGGCTTAGCTCAGCATTGCACAGCAGCGGACTGACCAAGGAAGAGCACAGTAACCATGATCTCATCTCTGGCAGCATGCGTGTTTGTGGCAAGCCATGGTTTGGCTTAGCGTGACATAGGAACCAGACCAATGTTTTGTTTTACCTAATAAAGAGATCGATTTTCTCATTCTCTCCCTCTTTTTATCAAAGTTAGCTGGTTTAGCTTCTTTTTAGATTTTATAAAGAGGAGAAGAGATTAGTTTCATTGCAGCTGAATGAGGGATAGATGCGATCTGGACAAAAATAGTTTCCTCCAGCACCAGCTGTTACGTAACTTGATTTAAAATTCAGCAAGAGAGCGTGGTTAACAAAATACCTTTATTTTTAAGATCTCTGGAATTGAAACTGAATTGCTTTCATGATAGGCAGATGGCTGCGTAATGAACAGAGGCTGGCTTTAACAATATGGGTCAGTGGGGGGAGGGAATTAAGAGCTTATTAGGAAACACACTATCCTGGGGACACAACATTGATTGATACATGTCCCCTCTCTGTACCCTAACATGCTTAATGAGTTTTTGTCTGACATGGACCAATTACTGTTACTGATGGGTGCACTGATGGATTGCTGAGTCAGCATGATCTGAGGACCAAGTTCTGTGAGAAGCTCCGAAAGCTTATTGGCTTACGCACTAAGGGTGAGGCACAGATCTCAGATATTGCATAAAAGGCTTTGCATCTAGCTGCACAGAAAGCCAGGAGGAAGAAAGAGGCACAGATAAAGCAGTTATCATCTGTACCTTACGTTTGAACGGGATGTGTTTTTTTTGAGCACTGTATTAAAGGGACATTTGCCCAGCTGTTTCTTTCATTGTATTTGTGGTGTGCTCCTGTGGTGTGGGCATTCAGGCACTGCCAATGTTCCAGGTCAGTTCGGTAGGTGAATAGGCCAGCATGGAACAGCTGTGGCATGTTGCTATGCTGTAATCCTTTAATTTGATACTTCTGATACCAGAGACTCATGGATTGGACTGTGACCATCTGATGCACAACTAAATATATGATAGATTGTGAAGATCCAAAATGCAGGTATAAAAATGCTCTGTCAAGCTTATGTGTCCTCTAAGATGTAGAAGGAGAAATGTAGGGTTGCCATTGTTTTGAGCTTTTTTTAAATCAGCAAAAACAACACTGCCGACACGGGTTCGTGGACATTTTCGCCTGGACACTGCTTCCGACTGCAGTATTCCAGGTATGTCCAGGAAATTTGGGACATATGGCGACCCTAAGAAATGCCCACTTTTTCTTTTTCTTTTTTACACTGGTTATATCACACCTCTAACTGTTTTATTCACTATTTAAAGGTGCCATATATTTATATCATGTATAATTCACTTCCAGTGCAGCCTTATCATGCAGTTTTGATAT